GCTGGAGTGCAATGGCACGATCTCGGCTCACCGCAACCTCCGCCTCCCGGGTTCAGGCATTTCTCCTGCCTCAGCCTCCTTAGTAGCTGGGATTACAGGCACGTGCCACCATGCCCAGCTAATTTTTTGTATTTTTTTTAGTTGAGACGGGGTTTCACCATGTTGACCAGGATGGTCTCGATCTCTTGACCTCGTGATCCACCCGCCTCGGCCTCCCAAAGTGCTGGGATTACAGGCTTGAGCCACCGCGCCCGGCCGATCAAGGTCATTTTTAACTACATTATACACCTCTCATAAGCAAGACACATAGGAAAGTTTTCTCTTAGGATAAAAGTGTTTTAAACACTGGATTTGTTTTTATCTTATGATCACTGAATCTGATAACTGAGCATGTTTTCTTTTCTTCTTTGGCCTAGGAAACTCGGAATTCCAGCTGTTATATAGGATTATATGAGATTCATTTCTATGTATTGCCTTTTCCCTGAATTTTTGCCTTGGGCACCCAAACTCTTTGCCTTGGGTACCTCAATTATTTATTTTATAAGAAGAGTTTATTATTTTTTTGAGCAAATCTCGCTAATATCCAATTTAATTGCCTATAAGTTCTACCTTCTATAAAACACCACTAGAACATGAACACAATTCAGCCAAGCTCTTTACCATTTTATAACAAAAATCACTTTTCCTCTAGTTTCCAATAACATGTTTCTCATTTCTGTCTAAGACTTCATCTGAATGGTCTTTACCATCCATATCTCTACCTGTATTCTGTTCATGGTTAATTATATGTTCTTGAAGAAGATGGAAGCTTTCTCTGCAAATTTCCTCTTTTCCTTCTGAGCCCTCACCAGACTCACCATTAAAACATGCTTCATGGGAGTATCAGCTTCTCATAGCATGCACTTCAGAACTCTTCCAGCCTCTATTCATTACCAATACCAAAGCTGTCTCCACACCTTTCGAGGTTTATTACAGCAACATCCAACTTTTGGGGATGCAATAACAAATTACTATAGACTGGGTAGCTTAAAAAACAAACATGTAAGCCGAGTGCAGTGGTTTATACCTGTAATCCCAGCACTTTGGGAGGCTGAGGAGGGCAGATCATGAGGTCAGGAGTTTGAGACCAGCCTGACCAACATAGTGAAACCCTGTCTCTACTAAAAGCACAAAAATTAGCTGGGCATGGTGGCACATGCCTGTAGTCCCAGCTACACAGGAGGCTGAGGCAGGAGAATCATTTAAACCCAGGAGGCAGATGTTGCAATGAGCCAAGATTGTGCCACTGCACTCCAGTCTGGGCAACAGAGTAGTATGTCTCAAAGAACAAACAAACATTTTGGCCAGGTGCAGTGGCTCATGCCTGTAATCCCAGTACTTTGTGAGGCCGAGGCAGGCGGACCCTGAGGTCAGCAGATCGAAACCATCTGGCCAACATAATAAAACCCCATCTCTACTAAAAATACAAAAATTAGCTGGGTGTGGTGGTACGTGCCTGTAGTCACAGCTGCTCTGGAGGCTGAGGCAGAGGAATTACTTGAACCCGGGAGGCAGAGGTTGCAGTGAGCCAAGATCGCGCCAGTGCACTCCAGCCTGGCAACAGAGTGAGACTACGTGTCAAAAAAATAAAAAATAATAATTAAAAAAAAAAACATTTTGATCAGACATAGTGTCTCACACCTTTAATCCCAGCACTTTGGGAGGCCAGGATGAACACTTGAGGTCAGGAGTTTGAGACCAACCTGGGCAACAGAACGAGACTGGTCTCTACAAAAAAAAAAAGAAAAGAAAAAGAAAAAACATTATTTTTTAAAAAGTAGCTGAGCATGGTGTTGCATGTGTCATCATAGCTTCTTGGGAGGCTGAGGTGAGCGGATCAGTCAAGCCCAGGATTTGGAGGCTGCAGTGAGCCATGATTTTGCCACTGTACTCCAGCCTGTGCAACAGAGCAAGATCCCAACTCAAAAACAAAACAAGACAAAGCAGACATTCATTTCTGGAGGCTGGGAAGTCCAAGATCAAGGTGCCAGCAGATCTGGTATCTGGTAAGAAGTCTCTTCCTGGTTTGTAGGTGGTCACCTTTTTTTTTTTTTTTTTTTTTTTTTTGAGTAGTTGGAACTACAGGTGCACACCACCACACCCAGATAAATTTTGTATTTTCTGTAGAGACATGGTTTCAACATGTTACCCAGGCTGGACTCGAACTTCTGAGCTCAAGCAATCTGCCCACCTCAGCCTCCCAAACTACTGGGATTACAGGCATGAGCCCCCTTGCCTGCCCAGTCACCTTCTTGTATTCTCACATAGAGCCTCACATAAAGAGAGTTCGCTCTCGTGTCCCTTCTTTAAAGGGTACTAATCCCATTCATGAGAGTCTACCCTTAGGACCTAATCATCTCCAAAAGATCCAGCCTCCTAATACCATCACATTTGGGGTTAGGATTTCAACAGGTGAATTTAGGGGGACACATTCAGTCCATAACGTGTGCTAGGCAGTTTACAGAAATCATCCATTTAATCTTCACAGTAAGCCATGAGATTGGTAGAGTCTCTAAAGATGAGGAGACTGAGATTAATATATATAAGCCACTTGTTCCAGGTCACATAGTTGGCAGGAGGAGAGTTGGGAGGCATACTCTGCTATGGCTCCCAGGTCCCTGCTGCACCTGCTGTCTGGGTGGTCTGCAGCCTCCCTGTGCCAGAATGATCTGGGATGCTTGTTAGGGTGCAAGTTCCCAAAGTATGCAGTACTTTTTACCTCCATGAAGAGGAACTTGAAGGGGATGTGTTTGCTATGCATGATTGGCTGTTATGCAAAGGGGAGATGACCTTTGTTCTGTATAGTTGCAGAGGGCAGAACCACACCAGCAGGTGGACTATGCAGAGAAAAGGTTGGAGGTGGGATTTCTGCACACTTCCTTTGAGTTCACACAAGAAGCACATATTCACCTATAGGCCCAGGGAACGCCACCTTCAAGTTGTTCTCAGAGGGAAAGAGCAAGAGAGTCAGTCAATGCATGGATAGATGGTCAAGGACACCTACCCAAGAGAAGAAGCCCCAGGCCTGGGCCTCAACAAAAGCATAGAGGTGCCCAGGTGGAGGTGGGCAGGCCTAAGGTGACATGAGACTTGGGCCTTGCAGGACTGGGAACCAGCTAGAGTAATTGGGTGCCTCAGCAGGGTCTTGTCCCCCAGATGCTGAGCGCAGCTGGAGGCATCTGACTCTTCTGGGTGTCCCGGAGCTGCAGCCCCTCCCTGTGGCCTGACCAGGCCTGTCTGCTTGTTGCAGTGCAGGCAACCTGGATGGCCTATGACATGGTTGTGATGCGCACCAACCCTACGCTAGCCGATTCCATGCGCCGGCTGGAGGATGCATTCCTCAACTGCAAGGAGGAGATGGAGAAGAATTGGCAAGAGCTGCTCCATGAGACCAAGCAAAGGCCATAGGCCCCACTGGCCCACCACAGTTGCCATGCCACCATCTGCCTGTGTGACAAGGTCACTGGGGGGTGGAGCTGGTGCCCACATGAACAGCTGTATGCACTGTACTTGTTTCTTAATAAACTTATTTTTAAGCACAACCCGAGGACTTATCTTCTGTGCCGTGATCCACCCAGCTGCATGTTAAACCTCGTGAACAAAACATGATAAGTGCAAGCTGCAGATGCTTTCAGTGAATTAAAATGTATTTGGTGCCAGTGGTACGGAGCATGTAATAAAAAACAAAACAAAAAAAAAGAGGGCCCAGTCAGGGACACCCAGGCTGGAGGTTGGAGTGGGCCACAGTCAGATTTATTCACCTCTCTAACATGGGTTTCAAAGTCTGTAAGGGGAGAAAACGCATCATGGATTGTGCTGTGTGTCCTGGACACCATGCGAGGTGTTCACAGCTGCGATCTCATCTCCCACAACTCTCCTGGATGACAGATGTCCACTGTCCACATTTTACAGATGAGGAGAAAGGGAAGTTGAATGTCTTATCCAAGTCCACACAGCTGAAAGGGGTAGAACTAGGGTGACACTCAGGCTTCATTTAGAGCTGGGGGGTTGGTGAGAAGTGGGGTGAACTTCTGGAGGGGCTGGGAAAGCCCCAAGGCTACAGAGGGTGGTGAGCCTGGAGTGGGCCTGGCCTGTTGTGGGCTGGGAGTATGGATAGGGGCTGCAGACAGCAGGGCAGCACCAGTGGACCCAGTTTCAGAGGCAAAGGTTCTAGGTCCTTGAGAATCCACAGTGCCAAACAGACCCAGGTGGCTACATACGGGGTCTGGACTGGAAGAAAATCCCAGAGGCCAGGGAATTGCCTGGGGACTTTCTTGCTCCCTGTCATACTGACAGAGCATAGGTTTCTACCCCTCTCCTCTCTCGGCTCAGCAGAGCTCCAGCGAGCCAAGTCATTGTCTGTGGGGTCGTATCAATCCCTGGCTCTAGGGAATGGGAAGTCCCAAAGACAGAGGCGGTGTGAGCAAACTGAGTGGGTCTGTAAGCAGGTACAGAATTGAGTCAGGAAAGCATGGATGTGGAGGAATGGGCAGAAAGGAGCCTGGGCTTCAAAATAATTGACAACCTTTAAAGCAGAAGGGGAAAGTCGTCTAGAAACAAGAGCAGGAAGTTCTGATCCCAGCCCCCTCCCTGAGCCCTGGCCTCTCAGACCCACCCCACAGTGTCTCCCTGGAGAGCAGTGAAGCAGCCCTGGTTCTCTGCCTGCCACTCAGAGTGAGGTCTGCAGCCTGTCCTCAGGGGGCAGGGTCAGGATGAATGGACTGAGGACCCCTGTGCTCCCCAAGGGAAAGGGCTGCAGCTCCTTGGCCTGGAACTGGGCAGTTCCCCCAGAGACCGTGAAGGTGGCAGTGACCTGGGGGTTGAGGCAGTAAATGGTGTTGCCCAGGGTGGTGCAGCGCAGGGGGGTGGGGATGGGCAGGGGCAAGGAGGCAGCCCTGCTCCAGGAGCCGGTCACTGTGTTGTAGCGCATCACGGCAGCGCCAACGCCCCGCAGCAGGTCGAAGCGGTACAGGAAGCCCCCCAGCGCAACGATGTCGCTGGAACGCCGGTGGCTGGCACTGTATGGGCACTCGTCCCAGGCATCCTTCGTGGGGCTGTACCTGAGCAGGCGGTAGAAGAGGTGACCCCCGGTGACGTAGATGTCCCCACGGCAGGCCACAGCCTCGTGGGCCACAGGGAAGGTGCCTGCGGGGAGGGGCGCGCGCGGTGTCCAGGCGTCTGTGCGCGGGTCGTAGCACTCCATGCTGTACAGGCATTCGCCCCCGATGGCGTAGAGCAGCCCGTCCAGGGCCACCAGCTTGAGCTGGGCTCGAGCCTGCTGCATGGGCCGAACCTGGCTCCAGATGTTGGTCAGAGGGTTGTAGCAGAAGACCTCGTTGGAGCAGATGGCCTTGGCACCGGAGCCACGGATGCCCCCCGCCAGAAACAGGTAGTTGTGCATAGTGCAGAGACCGCAGCCCCGGAGCGGGGCCTCCTCGGGCACCTGGGTCAGGGGCCGCCAGGTGTTCTCCTGAGGGTTGAACACGTGCAGGTGCGTACGTGGAGGCAGGGGCACAGGGGCCGACACAGGAGGCTCCTCGCCACGAGGGCCCCTTGGGAGCCCTGAGCGGCCCCCCTGGTAGAGGCTGGGCAGCACGACGACGCCCAGCACCGCCTGGCCCCGGCGGGTCCGCAGACTGAGGATGCGTTCACGGTCGGCCGCGCTCAGCCGGCGGTAGAGGCGCGGGTCTCCCAGCACTCGCAGCAGGTTGTTGCTCATTAGCGCGTAGGTTTCCTGCGCCAGGCCAGGCTCCCCGTGCTGCTGGGCGAAGGCCAGCACGTCCAGGCAACTGCCCAGGTCCAGCCGCCGGCTTAGGACCGCTGCCGTGGTGGGCGCCAGTGCCCGTAAACTGGGCTTCCGGGGCCCTTCCACCATCCCCCAACTCCCGGGCCTCTGCAGAAACTCCATGAGTTTCCGAGCCTCCTTCTGCTTCTCTGTGAGCGCCCCGCTGCGGCCGGCAGGGCTGCCCACCTCCGCCAGCACCTCCCCCTGAGGGTTCCCTGGGGCAGCTGGCCTGACTTCCTGCTCTGAGGTCCCGGCAATTTCACACCTGCTGCGTTTCCGTGGCTGGGGCACCGGCAGTGAGTGCCTCACCGAGGGGGAGGCCGCAGGGCCAGACGGCCTCTGCACAGGGGGCTGTACGGAGTCCCTGGGCGTTGCTGCTTGGGGTAGCAAGTCTACACTCTTCTCCCTGGTTCCCTCTCCTCTTAGGCCTGGGGAAGGGTCTGGGCTGGGCACGCCCTTGGTCTCAGAGCTTCTTTGCCGTGGCTGATCTCCAGCCTCAACCAGGGCCCCCGTACCTGTTCCCATCACCGTCCCCACTGAAGAAGAGGAACCATGTCTGTCCTCAGAGTGTGTGCAAGTACTGGGATCCACAGAACTCCCAGGAACCGCCCTTGGGACACTCCCTTGGGGCCTGTCTTGCCTGGGGAAGGGGTGGCTTCTAAGCACCATGGCAATAAGGTTTCCCCAGCTGGCTGAGACCTGACCCTCCTGGTAGCGCCTGAGGAGAGCCACACTCTCCTGAGATACAGCCTGTGACCCGCCAGCTGGGGCAGGGGATGTGGCTGGGGTTGGGACTGAGGTGGGGGCTGGGGCTGGCGCTGAAGTTGGAACTGGGGCTGGAGCTGCAGTGCCGGTAGGGGCTAGGGCTGGGTCTGGGTCTGGGTCTGGAATTGAGGCTGGGGTTTGAGTTGGGGCTGGGGCTGGGGCTGGGGCTGGGGCTGGGGCTGGGGCTGAAGTTGGAGCTGGGGCTGGGGCTGAGGCGGGGGATGAGGTTGAGGTGGGGGCTGGGAGTGGTGCTGATGTTGGGCACGAGGCTAGGGCTGGGGCTAGGACTGAGGTTGGAGCTGAAGTTAAGACTTGGGCTGAGGCTAAACTTGGGGCTGGCGCCGCTCTGAGATTTTCTCCCACAGAAGGACCCCGGGGAACCCCCAGGGGCAAAGAATCTGAAGGAGAGGGGGTCGGGAGAGTCAGGGCTTCAGGCGGGACCCCGGGGCCGGGAGTCGCAGGCGGGGAGGCAGAGCACGGACGGGGCTCACGGCTCGGGGAGGAGGCGCGGTTGCGGCGGACTGCTGCCGTGGGCCCCAGGTCGGTGGCCCGACTGTCGTCTCGGGAGCCGTAAGCCCCGACCTCGCCCGCAGCGTAGGCCCCTGTGGCCCCCGGCCCTTGAGAGGAAAGTGAGAGTCCTTGAGGCGGACTCTCCAGCCAGGGGCGCGTGGATCCTGGGGCCGGGCGGGAGCTCCGGGTGCCGGGGACCTCCCTCCTGGCCCAGGGCCAGCCTCTTCCGGGGGCGGCGACCCCCGGAGCCTCCCCGCTCCCGCCAGCCTTGGGGCCAGAGCCCTCCGTCTGGGACCCAGGCTGCGGGGCGCGGGGTGCGGGCTCCTGAGCGAGCGGGGATCCTGTGGGGAGGCCGCGCGAGTGGGCGTCCAGGGCAGCGGCCTCGTCCACCGCGTCCCACACGCTCCCCGCGGCGCCCAGGCGGAGCTGGTCCAGTTTCCGGGGGCGGCGGGCTCTGTCTCCCAAGCCAGCGTCCATCCGCCGTCGCCGGCCCGGGCTTCTCCCCAGCGAGCCGGAGGGCCCCGAGCCCACCTGCCAGGGGCTGGTGTCCTGTTGCCCCGCAGGGCCCGCGGCCTGGCGAAAGGGCACCTTGACACCACCTGCCTCCGCCTGCGCCTCCGCTTCGCTTCCAGGTCTCCGAGGGGTGAAGTGGATAAGGAGGGGGGCTGACATCCCCGCTGCTTCGCTCCTGCCCAGGAGGGCAGTGCCTGGCCTGGGAGGCTCTTTTCCTTCATCTCGGGGGGCCATGGGGATGGCGCCGCCCCGCTGCTGTCTCACTACCCCTCTACGGGCCTCCTCGCCAGCTGTCTTGAGTGGAAGCGCAGCCATGGCGGCCAGGCCCCTGCCAGGAGCTGCAGCAGAGACAGGGCTCTGCTGGCCACGTCCTGGAGGCTCCTGCTTCCCCTGCCCTGGGCTCTGCCCCTCGCTGCCATCACTGACCTTAGACTTCGCTTGCAGGGCCAGCTCAGCTCTTCCTGCCTGATGAGGTTGAGCCCCGAGGGCTGTGGACACTGGTCCTGCCACCTCTTGGTCGCGCCCGGAGCCAAACCAGTGTAAGGCCAGTGCTGTGGCAGCCACCACAGCCAGCGCCAGGAGGGCCAGCACAGCACTATCCCAGTCATTGTCACCATCCCAGTCCCAGCCCCAGAGGGGACCGTCTGGCTCCAAGGTACCCTGGACCATGGTTTGGAGCTGCAGCCCACTGCAAGGGGCCCAATGGCAGGCTGGCAGTGGGTGCAGCACAGAGGCCTGGGCTGGGGCACCGGCCAGTGCCCCGCCCCATGGGCTGCCCAGTTAAGGTGGACCAGTCCTCCAGGGCCTGGGAAAGATGGGTCTCTGCTTGCAACCAGGCCTAGAGGTGTCTGTAGGGCCTGGCTGTAGATACCAGGAGACAGCAAGGCTTACAGCAGGACAGGAGCCCAGGGTCTCCGAAAGCCCCCCACCAGCTCCTGCCCTCTTCTCCTCCTCTTAGTCTCCAGTATC